TATTCTTTTTGTATTAGGCCCTCCTGCTTATCCACCACTAAGGATATTTATATTCCCTCTTTCAAAACATTTAGATAACTACAATAAGAACAATAATTATATTTTCAAATAAGTTGAGGTTAGCTATATAGATTTTCACTGTCCAATTCGCTCATGGACAGAGCTAGGGTATATGAATTTCCATGGTCGAAAATTTCTACTAAATATACTAAGTTAAAATTACTTATTTGGTATATATAGTAGATATTGAATCCGCTTGATTTTTTCATATGTTTACCTTTTCTTCTTTTGAATTTCTTGATTGGATAATTGTTACATATCATTTCATAATGTATTGTATTATATTGTATTGTGTTATATTATATTGTAGTGTACTGCATTGATCAATACAACATTTGAATAGATTGTACTATTATTTTCTGTCATTACATAATGTCGTGTATTAATAATGTGAAGAATAAATCTACCAGAAAAGCAGGAAACAAGGTAAAGCTATTATAAAAAGATAAAATATAATTATTAGATAATAAGAAGAAAAAAAAAAAAACAAACAAATGGGAGAAAAAAAGAAGATAAGGTAACATACGATTATACTAAATCAACAATACATAAAATGAGACTTTTATGTTACATAACAATATATTACTTAAACTAACAATACAATATAATAGAATAAGTCACAACTATCAAAATAAGGTGTCAGTGAAAATCTTATCTCGCCGCTTCATTTAAGTTGATCTCATAAACACAATTCGATTAATAAAAGCAAGGAAATCTATTCACTCCCCATGTGGAGAAAAGGGAGGAAAAGAAGATAAAAATCGTTTTAGTGGAATGAAGAAGAGCTAAAGTTAGTTTGACAAGTGGAATGCAGGTGGAAAGTGATGGGGTTAAAGCTTAAAAAGCATTTTGACTGAGGTCCTCAAACATTAAAAAAAGGAAAATGGCTGAAATATCTTCGAAATTTGATCGAAATTACTGTAACAATCTCAAACTTTGAGTATGACCTATTATCCCTGCACTATTTAATAGTGTATTCTATAGATATATAAGTGTTCAGCTTGATAAGTTACTATTTATAATGATGTAATATTTATGATGTCCACGTGGACACCTATATATTTTTAAAATACACTATTAAATAGTACATGAATAATAGGTCCTGTCCAAAGTTTAAAATTATTACAGTAATTTCAATCAAAATTCAGATATATTTCAAACTTTTTTCCCATAATTTTTTTTATAAGGATGCTGAAAGAAGAAAACAGAGGACAGTTTACCTACTAAAAGTAGAATATGATGCAGATTGGCTTTCCCTTCATAGAGTATAATTATTTTGAACCGTCCACTTTTAGTACCCCAACATTATAAAATTATAAATGGTTCTAAGGAATCTTTGTGGAGATTGAGTGCCACTATAATGCATTATTAAGTGGGGAATAGGGAAGGAGACATTATCCCAGTAAAAAAGGACCTAAATGTGGAAAGTGTACAATACTTGTCATTTTCCATCATAATGTTCCTTTTGATAGTGAAATTATTGATAAACAAAGTAGCTAAAAGTGATTATGTAGCTGTCTTGAGTTGGTTGATTGACTTACCTTTTTTGAAGAGGCGAATTCAGAATTTAAATTTTGTGGTATTTCTATAATGGCCTGGATAATACACAATAGTAACTGAATTTATATTTAAATATTTAATTGATTTCCTTAACACGTATATATATGGTTTGAATAAAAACTATTGAGTTTGAATCTAACACACGATACTCTAGATCTGCCCTAACCGTTTAGGTATTATTGAGATGTTTGCTCCTTGGAATTTGGCTGGCGGCTAAGAATATCACAGTAGGACCACGGGCTATCATTAGACTTTGTTTGGAAATGTTTTTTCCATGTAATTACTTTGATTATTGCCTTTGGACAAACACTTAAAATTACTATCGACTTAAAGTTTAGTAGTATTCTAGTTCCTTGCTTTCTTTCAAAGGCAAGAAATGACACTTGACTAAAAATCTAAATTCTTGATCAACAAAGGAACAATATCGTTATTTTTGTTCAATAAGATATAAAAATGGATGATTAACTTATTCATGCTAGAAATGATCACAATAATTTTTTTGATAATTCGAATTTATATTTCTTGATACCACGATCAAGACAAATAGTTGAATTTGTGAAATCATGTCATAAATGATAGTATTGGTAGTGATCAAAATCTTCAAATCTGCAAGACAATGAATGACAAACATGTTACTACCTTTCTTTTTAATGAACTGTGACTTCTAAGTATGCACTTCAAGCAAAAGAACAACCGTAATAGGACGGACACCTTTTCTTTTGTTTTTCGGACAGCCACACAAATATCTAAAAATTGTTTAAGATCATAAATTTTTAAAAAATTGTATCAAATCAAACGGTGTCACCAATTGAAATGAGGGAATATGAGTGTTCAAAATCGAACCGTAACCGATAAGTCAATCACAAAATTAGTTTATTGGTATTGAGTTATCGAATAAACGGTTGGTGAACCGATTAAAATTTAATAATTAACGACTTATTGGTGTGGGAGCGAATTATTCAATTTCCTTATCGGATAAACTGTTAACCCGTTAAGAATTACCATACTTACACTTTTATCTTTGATATATTATCCTCATTTAATATTTTTTCCATAATATACTATATATTGTTAGTCCTAAAGTAGTAAAGCCAAAAACTGGAAAAACCTATTTACTTTTCTTTTGTATTAACTATTATATTAGTAGTAATCTATATCTTGTAATACAAAAGAATTTTATAATTTAACTGGGTTTAAAATCATGAAAAGAAGTCTTTTTTAAGGTGTGTTCATGAAGAAAAAAAAGGTAGAGATTAGCCGAAACATCGAATGATAACCAATTACTAATATATATGTTATCGAACCAACCGATATCTTATTGCTTGACTAGCGAATTAGTAAATTTAAATAACCGTTATTCAATAAGCCAAATCGTTAAGCAGAATTATCCGCCCGATAAGTAGCCTAGAAAGGAATACTACTTCCATTGCACAAGTGTTTCCAACAAGGAGGTAAATATTTCAAACTCAAAGGAACATGTGGGTGGACGTGCCGGAGTGGTTATCGGGCATGACTAGAAATCATGTGGGCTTTGCCCGCGCAGGTTCGAATCCTGCCGTCCACGATTTTTTGTTTATCGTTTTCCCACTATTTCACTTTCTTTTGCCACCATTCCGTTCACTGTGACACTTCCCACAATGAACAACACCCTCTTCTTCTATGGTTCAAATAGGGTGCAAGCAGTCAACATCCTTCTTGATTTTTACACTGAAGCATCAATGCAAGACGATTTCACAAATTCATCAAGTTCATGCTCAATCCATTACCAATGGCTTCCTCTTTTCTTTCAGTTCCACTTTTATCCTCACTCAAATCCTTCATTCCTTCACTTCCATTCTCTCTTCTCTTCCAACACAACCCACCACTCGCTATCCATCCACCATTTTCAATCTTATTCACAACCCATCAACTTTCTGTTACAACACCATCATTCGAGCACACACCCTTCTCTCTTCTCCTAATACTTCCTTCTTTTACTTCATCAAAATGCGGAGAAATTCAGTTCCGCCAGATTCCCACACTTTCCCTTTTGTTCTTAAAGCTTGTGGTTTACTGAATTCTCCGTTTCTGGGCAGGACCCTTCATTCACAAGCGTTGAAGTTTGGTTTTTTAGTTGACGTGTTTGTATGTAACAATCTTGTTCGTGTGTATACTGTTAGTGGTAGTATTAGTGATGCACGTAGAGTGTTTGATGAAAGTTGTGACAGAGATGTTGTTTCTTATAATTTAATTATTGATGGGTATGTTAAGGCTGGTGAGATTGGGGAAGCCAGGGAAGTGTTTGATGAAATGCCTGTGAGAGATGCAGTTTCTTGGGGAACACTTATGGCTGGATATGCGAAAATGAACCAGTGTAAAGATGCCATTGAGCTATTTGATCAAATGGTTACGTTGAATGTGAAATTTGATAACGTTACGTTGGTTTCTGCTCTCTCAGCTTGTGCACAACTGGGGGAACTCCAGAAGGGGAAGACGATACATGATTATATTAAAAGGAAGGGGATTGCGATAGATTCGTACTTGTGTACTGGCTTGGTAGATCTATATGCCAAATGTGGCTGCATTGACATTGCTAGAGAGTTATTTGAGATGAGCAAGGACAAAAAAGTGTTTAGTTGGAACGCTATGCTAGTTGGATTAGCGATGCATGGCCATGGCCAGTTACTATTTGATTACTTCTCAAGAATGGTGGAGACTGGTGTTGAGCCTGATGGGGTGACTTTTTTGGCGTTGTTGGTGGGGTGTAACCATGGGGGTCTTATTCATGAAGCTAGAAGGTTCTTTGGAGAAATGGAAGGGGTTTATGGTGTTCCTCGAGAACTAAAACATTATGGATGCATGGCGGATCTGCTGGCACGTGCAGGGTTGATTAAAGAAGCTATGGAGATGATAGAGACAATGCCAATGGCTGGTGATGTGTTTGTCTGGGGTGGTTTGCTTGGTGGGTGTAGGACACATGGGCACGTCGAGCTAGCAGTGAAAGCTGCTGAAAATGTAATGGAGGTGAAACCTGAAGATGGTGGTGTTTATTCAATCTTGGCAAATGTCTTTGCAGATGCTGGCCGTTGGGATGACTTGGTCGATATAAGGAGAAAAAGAGACCGCGTAAAGATCAAGAAGAGTGCTGGTTGTAGTTTGATTCAATTGAATGGAGTGGCACATGAGTTTATTTCATGGGATGACTTGCACCCTCAAAACGACGAGATATATTCTATCTTAAATTGTCTGCAACTCAATTTGAAGCAATATTACTAACAACATTTTCTTGTCACTTGTTTGTACTGTGCTAAGACGAAGCTTAAATGAAGCGACATGAGAAGTGAAAATTCATATTAACATAACCCAACATGCTTGGGGTCATTGAAGCGTAGCTGCAGATATACTGGTTCAACTATACTATTGTTATATACTTGTAAGAAAATTCTTGAGTTACATCTTGGTCCAGGTTTTCTGTATTCTCTTTTTTCCTTGACTACACAAACTTCATTTATGATGCTACAATTTTTACAGTTTTTATTGGTGATGATATATAAAAATCTCTTCCACTCAGCCAAATGACATGGTGAACTTTTCTCTTTGAGTAGCCATTACAAAGTCATCGTCCTAGTTTACTCCCACCTGCCAAATAAAACAATGAATTGTCACTTTTATGACCAAAAAGATGATTGGATCCAGTTCACTACTTTTTCTACAAAGTAACTTTTATGTACTTTTGATAAGTCAATACTACTTTATATGAAAGCGCATAATCAGCAAGTGCAACATAAAATATGCAGATTGATTTGCCAGTTCATGAAGTAAAATGTAAATATACCTGTGAAATAGATTAAGAGAAATTTCAGCCTAAAAGAAGATTAAACACATCTCTCAAAGTGATTATGCCTTCTACATGCCGGCTATTGGGATCAATGACCACAACACGCCGCACAGCTGAAACAAAAAGAAGAGGCATTCAAACTACAAGATTATGATGCTCACAAGGAAAATGTCAGAAAGGAAAAAAGAAGCGGTACAAACTTGGATCTGAAAGGACCTCCATAATCCTATACAGTGAATCAAAGCGTGTGCATGTCCTACAACGATCACGGGATGCTTCATCTAAGACCTGCAGGACCTGAAGCCAATTTCAAATTACTGCATCATTACAACTTCCGAAAATTCTCTCCTCCGAGGATTTACAAATGAAGTGATAGAATGTCCTCATGCCCTATAACGAACATCAACAGTGGCCAAGAGTGTTTACCAAAATGACTCCCAAGTACTTTTACCCATAACATCTGGAATTAATCAAGATGAAAGAGTTCCAAGCAAAGAGAAAAAACCAAATGGTAGGTAATAAATTAATAATAGTTTAAGAAGCTTCATATACCATACAAGTATGACTACCATTTAAGTCTTCATAGAGTAATTTTGTATGCCAAAGAACAAACTTTGAAATGTTTTAAGAAAATTCACTGACTTTTGTACTCCATAGAATTCTATTGCATACTAGCACCTCACTTATATTAGGCAAGCATGATAATCTTGAGGAAACAAGAGATGGTGGATTGAAAGGCACTTACTTGAGTCATTATCATCTGGTCAAGCCGAAAGCGAGCATACACATTGCCTCTTGCCAAAGAGGTTATATCACTAAATAAAGACAATCAAAATTACAAATCTTGTAAGGCTTTAATTAAATCAAGCAACTTCAATTATGCGTGAAAATAAAAAAATTCAAGAATTTACCATTGGAAGTGCATGAATTACCTCCGAGAATACACATTTATAAGGGCTCCATTATCATCAACGATAGGTATTGAACTTATCTCACCTGTCAGAGCAAGAGAACGATGTGCTTAGTACACATGTTCAAAGTTCTACAATCACTGACTTCTAGAGAGGGTAAAATCCCAATAACAATAGAAAGGGTCTTCTAATTCAACTAAACAATTCCTATATTGAGATGTGGAAGTGGAAGGATCAGGTCCCTATCACATGTTTAATAGTAAATATGAACCCCACTAGCATATAGACTAGGAATAAGACACAGAGGGGACGAGGAAGGATGGAAAACCAGAAAAGTTACATCTTATTTTTCCCAGGAACCTAGCTTGCAATTAGTGCATTATCACTAAACCATGAGTCTGAGAATTGCTAGCTATGAATTTATTGGCTAGGAGCTCATTGATATCCTCAAATTGAAATCAATTAGCCATTGCTTAGTTAGACCTTCCACTATAGACCAATCAGAAAGAAAATTCAAAACCACAGGCTCACAATAGGGCACTTGCAAATTCTGTTTATCTGTGAGCAAGTTACCCTGGACAATTTTGTACAACTCTAAAAATACGATTGTGTACCTTCTATTAGTAATTTAAGAGCAGAGCTAAGGAGGTCTCCACTGTGTAATGTCAACAATACACGGCTGCTTGCTCTTCCACCAACTTCTCTTGTCCAGGTGCCAAATGGAAGATTACCCACTGGTTGCTGTACAATAGGCAGATACTCTAGAGAGCGCCTAAAATGCCTGCATATGTCTAAGATTTTCCAAGGAAGATAAATAAACCCAACATAAGTCCTTGCAAAAACTTTCTGAGGAAACAAAGCTGCATAAGTGAAAGCAAGCTATAGGCAAACACACGATTTAATATTCCTGCAAGGCATGCAGTATGCAACAACTGCGAAGATGACCCGTCTTCTGATGAATGTAAAACTGGAACTGCAGATATCTTATTTTGTAATAATGTTAGGGCCACGTCTTTCAGCGACTCATCAGGACCAGCCTGTGATTGCAGAGAAAATAGGAGGAATGAATAGACAGAATAAGATTCTAGATCAAAGCTGCTGTGAGAGAAAATAAATTTTCTTATGGTAAGCTAACCTGAAGATACGATCCCCCCCCCCCCCCCCCCCCACACACAAAAAAAAAACA